CACTGCGTACCTATTTTTACTTTCTGCTGTATGTTTTCGCAAACTGCAAATTTGAATAGCAATCTATCTAGAGATTTCGCAAACTGCAGATTTCACAAACTGCAGATTTCGCAAACTGCAGATTTCGCAAATTACAGATTTCGCAAATTACAGTTTCGCAAAGTGCAGATTTCGTTTCGTTTCGTTTCGTGAACTACAGCAAGCCTCTAGAAACTCACTTCCTGAACTTTTGGGCGCAAATGTAATGTATTAAAAATGTATATCATATTCACAGCGGTTAATACCATTAATATAGCGCGGGCGCAATACAAAACAAAACACGAGAATTTTAAAATGTTTTGATTTGCAAGTAAATAAATAATATTTGATGTCATAAAAATGTTTAAATTTAACTCAACACAAACTGGTAAGTTCATGACTTGTATAATTTACTTATATGTTGTTATATTGCAATTCTGTACCCTAATCCTTTGAAAATTGTTTGCAATTGCATATGATGTGAACATGTGGTCATGTATTATAGTTGTGTCATGAATTTAATAATACCCCAATGGCTTCGAAATAGACAATGGATGGAAAAAGTCATGAATATTGAGCTTATTTACCCTTTCAACACTTGATCGTCATGCGCATACAGTGTATTGTTTGTTTCCAGAACCCCCTCAAGCAGACTTCAACTTTTTTTGTTAAATTGTATATAATATTTTGCTTCATAACTGTATGTGTGTGTGTGTATGTGGGAACACTCATGTTTGGATGCTTGGCATAGGTTAATGGTATTTCATTGGAGTCATCAGGGATATAGTTGTATATTCCTGAAATTACCTCTAAACACCTAAAACAGCATTCCCTAAAATTTTAATTGTTTTCTTACATTGCCCTATATCGCTCAAACTCGCATTGTTTAAATTGCAGATTTTGCTTAAATCACCTAAAATTGCTTAAACTCGCATAATATTATCTCGTTATCGCCCCAGAGTAGGGCCTACTGTTGCCATTGCTTTTTAGTCCCCAATACTTCAGTGAGTCATGCTTTGGAAATGACAATAATTTTTTATTACCCAACCCTTGAGTTGTTTTGCTTTTCATTTACCCAACCTTTTACTTACTCAAAATTTAGTTTACCCAACCCTTTTCTCTTCGGTGCCACCCCCCGCCATAAATAATGACCGGTCCCTTAGAGCTAATTTAGAGTTAAGTTTGCTGCATCGAGATTTAACTTTCGCGCAAGAATTTCATACATATTTTAATTGTTGGCAATTACCTGCATGCATGGCTATAGAAATGGAGCCGTTCTGGTTGTCCTGTTGTCTTTTTGAAAGGCGATGGGGTTTCCGTATTAACCACTTTATTGGCTGAGTCATCATTATATTTTAGTCAGTTTAATTTATTCTAATCTTTTGAATTTATTATCAACAAGACGCCTACTCAGGCGTTCACTCCGGGTACAGGGCCTTAACTAACGGCGCAAAGCTACTTTAACGTACTATGCTTATATGCGGCAATGAAGGTATCTTTAATGCATGATATTCAGTAGCATATTGGAAAGGTGGGAGAACTACAGCGTACCACTTGACCAGGTGACTAAAAACATATGCAATGATCATAATATTTTTAACATAAAAATAAAAGGACATTGTGACACTGATTATCTCTAATAAAAGCTATCTAGTTCTTTATTAAAAGTTCTATTTAAAAGTGTTTTTTCGAGTCGTATATAATAAGTCGGAGGCTGTATTTTACAAATATTTTATGTTTTTTTTATTGTCGAGGGTAGAAATTCGCGGGTGAAAAGCTTGAGGGTACATTTTAATAATTTAACAAAATAATAATTTAAGTTCGTGTTCACTTACTTTACTTTTAATTTTTAGCTCTTATTTTTATATGCAATTATTAATTTTTTATATGCGATTACTTTTTATATGACAAAATATTACTACATAAAAATAGAAATGCCGATCAAAAGCTACAGTCGACATAGTTTCAAATTGCATATCGCAAATTATTGTATCAGTCTATTCACTATATGGTCTATTGAATCGGAGTAATCAGGACTTGTTTACACCTTTCCATTGCCATACGCCTTTTCCGGGTTCGCGACGCCATCTTCAAAGTATTGTTTTCGCTATTGTGCTTGCCGCACTTGCAAATTTATCTATAGGGAATGCCCGCAAATTTCTATCCTCGACAATAAAAACCATAAAATATTTTAGAAATACGACCCCGGACTTTTTTTATGACCCTCGACTTTTTTATATGACCCTCGACTTTTTATATATGATTTTTCGACCCTCGCTTCCCACCCTCGACCCTCGAGAAGAACTCCTGAAACTGAATTACTAAAAATAGCTAACGTAAACAAACCACATTTATCAAACACGCAAAGAAAATTATTTAAAAAGTAATATATTGTTAGTCGTGTCATATAGTTAATTGTCAACACTTTTCCAATGCATGGTAGTAAGTTCATAACTGGCACCATAACTCATAATTAAGTTATGTTGATATTTTGTTTATACAGATTGATTGTTTTAATTTGTAAGGCTTCTGTAAGTTTGTTATTATCAAACGTTTAGATTGCTTTTAAGCATCCTAGTAATGATTTTACTTTAAGACCAAGACAATGCAGCTGTCGAGACCGATTTTTGATACTCTATAAATAAAACATTAAACTGTGTAATAGACGTACTAGTGTTGGGTAAAGCTATCTAGTTATATATATTTTATATGCGCTTTTGTCTATTATTCAAGCGTGGTAGACAATATTGCCAATATTGTTGTGGTTTGCGATATAGATTGCCTCGCGAATCGAAGACTTTCAGATATGACATATATGTGAAAATACGGGAAGATAACAAGGTAAGATTTCCAAGCAATTTCGAAATCACACATCTTTACCAAGTGTTTCAAAAGGACTACATTCCACGAATGTTTTCCATGCAGTATGTGCACGGAAAAGTTTAAATCCATTTAATAAAGTTTGCTTGCGAAATCCATCGGAATTAGGTTATTTGCTTGGTACACGATTTAATGCGCATTTATTGTTAGTACAGTATTTTGAGAAGTATACGTATATAAAATTTAGATATATAAATTTTCGTACCCATGAATAAACCTTTATTCTTTAATTGAAATTTTGCCTCAAGTAAATTTCCCATTCTCTGTTGTCTAAAATCGGTCCATCGGGAAGTTCATGTGAAGTTCAAGATTGTGCATGAATTGCTCGATGGAAGAGAAAGACGAAGATTGATTGTGGCATTACCCTGGTTGCCAGAGGTTCTCGTATCTTTCGCCTTATCCCCGCTTGTATTAATTTTACGATTGGCAACCTCTGGTTACAAAATTTGTACCAAGCACATGATTGGTTAGTTATAATTAGCAGTCACATGAAGTGATGTGATTGGCTAAACAAAAAAACCTGTTTATAAATCTCAGAGAACATGATGTAAACAAAGTACAGAAATAATACGAACGTATTAAAATGCATTACTTAGTGTGGGTTATTTGGGATGACTTAAGTTGACGGTATCAATGACATGTTCAGTCTATTACAGCAGGGTGCGATAATTCGCGTACCAACGTACCGGAGGTACGCCAAATTTATGGTCTGGTACTTCTTTGTTTTTAGGCAAGTACCACGTAGGTACGCGGATATTTGCTATTCGCGTACTTACATTTTCCTTCTAGCAATAACTAGCAGACCTGCCAAAGTATTCAAAACTGTGAAGAACTTTAGCTGTACATGTAAATTCCACGCATCCGACATATTTTGGGATGAAAAAAGCCAAAAGGTTATCTTTGCGCTTGATCAAAAAATTTATCGTCATCGTCCGACTGAAAAAAAATCGCTCGGGTGAGCGATTTTAAAATCGTTATCGTCAAACGCCGATAATGCCAAAACCATGAAAAAAATATTCAAAATTTTTTTTTATTTCCGACCTACCTATCCTATTTTTTTCGCGATATGAAACCGGAACCACAGCCACAGGTATTTTTTAGGCCCAATGAGGAAAACTACACTGTATGTAGCTGAGGTCAGATTATGATTGTACAAATACCATAATTAAAGATTCATTTGTACAAAATTGCCCATACATTTTTTGCTTTTGGACCAGTAAACTATAGGTATAAAAACGCATGACTCGGAAGTAGTCTTAGGTACGTCTTGACTCTTAAGTTTGTACCAGACCAGGTACGCGGCAAAAGTTGTCGGAGTACCAGTCAGGTACGGCTAAAAATATTGAATTATCGCACCCTGTATTACAGTAAGGGGGGAGTACACCTTATTCACCTTCAAAATATCGAAAAAAAATTTTTGTTGCTAAAATCATCTTTAGGTACTAAAGAAACATATACCATTCAAAACGGGGTTGTTTGAGCTTTCTTTCTTGAAAATATAAGCTTTTTTCTGAAGGGCATTGAAATATTGAATCTCGTTGCCATGGAAACGAGATTATATTCCTCAGTTCATTTGTCCTTTCTCTCTTTCTTTTGGATGACTTGAAAGAAAATTTGAATATTTTTGCAGTTTAGTGAATCAGGGGGCTGGTGACGAGTTTAAGGCCTGGTTACCCAGCAATTTACGCACATTTTCTTGTTGAAACATAAACTTCCAAAATACAAACTTGCTGTTTAAAATAAATCTGATTTTAATACTATATATTAAACTTTATTACATATATAATTGGCTGGAGATTGTTGCTTGAAGTTTTATTTATTTGGTCATGCCAAAAGTATCGAAAAAGAAGCGATTTCGAGGCAATAATCGCTGGAATGTCGATGGCACAAGTTTGTGTCGTGATGATGAACAATGCTCAACATCAAGTACAGGGAAAACTACTCCTGCAAGAGAAACAGCGTCTATGCGAAAGCTTTGTAATCAAGCTGCTGGTAAGAGTGGTGATTTAGATAATTCTTTTAGCTATAGAATGATAGAATTGTCAAGTTTGTTGAGTGCATTCCAGCCCTTACACCAATGACAGGCTGGGGGAGAGTTGACCATGAGAGATGAGGTGGCTCGGACTTATGGCAATAGTTCGGTTATCGAAATAGAATGCTCCAAGTGTGACACTAATGTAGAGCTCCAAACTTCAGGGAACACCAGTGGGTCATGGACACCCCAAGGTGCTATGGACATCAATAGACGAATGGTGTATGCTGCTTCAGAGATGGGTGTCGGTAGAGAAAGCATGTCTGCAATGTGTGACATTTTGAACATGCCTTCCCCGTGCAATCGCAGTGCATGGAATAACCATGTGAACACATTGTATGAGGCACATAAGAAGGTTGTAGCAGAAAATTTGGAGAAAGCAAGAGAAAAAGTTAGTTCTCTTCATGAACCAAATGAGTCCAACGTTGTAGAGATTGCAGTGAGTTATGATGGGACATGGTCGAAACGAGGATATACTGCTAATTTTGGAGTCGGTTTCGTCATAGCCGTTGATACAGGCGAAATTCTTGATTATGACTTTGAGTCAAGATATGTATGGAATGTGCTATAGCAAAACAAGATCCTGGTGAAGACTCCTGTGAGTTCAGTATGTGATATTCCGGATATCAAGACCAATGCACCCAAAGTCACACCGGCTCAAGTGGATCCATGGAATGCTCGATTGCAAAGAAAATCTGAGATCGATCGAAGGAATCGGGTATTCACTACAAATTCATGATTTCTGATGGAGATAGCAAAGCATATGCTAACATATGGGACACATATGGATGTTGTGATGCCTGTCAGAAGTATGAAAATATGGACAAGCGGTCAAAGGAATACAAAACGTGGCTAGAGTCAAAAGACTATAAGATATGGAAAGAACAACATGATAGTGGTGAAGCCAGTTGTTCCTGGGTCTTCAAGTTAGACTGCATTGGCCATGTTCAGAAGAGGATGGGGACTCATCTGAGGGAACTCAGAAAAAAGATAACAAACTAAAGGATGGTAAGTCAGTGAAGGGCAGTAAACATAGACTTACTGACAAAGCCATGGATAAATTGCAAACCTATTATGGTAATGCTATCAGAGCAAATGTAAAGCCTGGTAAACTTTCAGCAGAGGAACAGAAGAGCCAAATTACTGTGATGCAGAAGGCTATCATGGCAGTACTGTACCATACATGTGAACTAAGTGATGAAACAGAAAGGCATAAATATTGCCCGGAGGGAGCAGATATCTGGTGTTCATACAAACGACAAGGAACTTTGAAAAGAAAAGATCACCATTTGGATGCCGTTTTCTTAGATTTCTTGTTGCCAGAATTTACACGACTAAGTGACTATTCCTTATTGCTTCGGTGTCTACCTGGATATTCGCAAAATGCGAATGAAAGCCTCAACGGCCTTGTCTGGAACAGAGCTCCAAAGCATCGCTACAAAGGCCCTAAAGCTGTGGAGATGGCTGTCATGTCAGCAATAACACATTTTAATTCTGGTGCAAGCTCAAGGCATGATCTGATGAGAGCTGCTAGTATTCCTCCAGGAGAATTCACGAGCGAAGGGAGTGCGAAAAAAGAATATCTCGATCCATACAAAAAGCATCAATGCGGGAAAAAGGAAGAAGGAAGATAAGGGAAGCCAAATTGACAGCTCAACAGCAGAATTAGGAAGGTGAGCCATCCTATAGCAGTGGAAAATATAACGAAGCTGATCCATTGGGCCAAGCTGATCTTTCAAGTGATGACGACAGCATGCCACTTGCTACGCTTTTACCTGAAGCTGACTCAGACACTTCTGATAGCAGTGACAATGCCCCACTTGCTCAATTACTTCTGAAATAACATTAGAGTTAACCAACAATGTTTGACATTAGTTTTTAAATGTCTTTAATAGAGCATAACACATGGAAAACACTTGTGCATAGTTCATAAACTTTGTTAGCCGTTTTCTCAAAAGTGGTATTTTTGGCAGGGGCCGTTACCTAAAACCTAATAACTTGAAAACTATTTGACCAATCTTGCTGAATTTTCAGAGGAGATTCTCAAGACAATGTTAAAAAAAATAATAGATGCTTTTTTCCATTATTTAAAACCTTAGCATTTTAGACAATTTTTACCACACAGTGATATGTTACTTCTATTCAAGTGGTTGCCATGGCAACAGAAAACCTAGCTACTCCAAAAGCATCCATTATTTTTTTCTCTACAGTGTACTAAATATAAAGAATCATTAGTCTATGATAGGTTGCCCCTGACAAGATAGAATTTAAAGATGGACTGCCGAAAAATGCACATTGTCATGGCTTACAAGCACATTTTCTATTATGAATTAACTTTTGTAACCCAGTATTATTATAATCGTTTTCAGCATCTGATAAGCTTCAAAATGATATACAGTATAGCATATTGAAATTGCAATAATCTATCAATATTAAGAGCCGATACAGTATAATGATGTCCCAAACCTAAAATTTAAGGTGTACTCCCCCCTTATTAATATTTGTAAAATATAAAGTGTTGGTCACTTCCTTATCGTTCAAGGTTTTAAATTGTGATAATTCTTTGACTTTAATAGTTATTAATTAATATATTTATTTTGCCAATATTTTTCCGTTGTCTGTTAAGGACAACCATTCTAGCTCCGTTGCACACACACACACACACACATATATATATATATATATATATATATATATATATATATATATATATATATATATATATATATATATATATAGTTATATATATATATATATAGTTATATATATATATATAATATTAATGAGACCAAAAATGATCAAATTTATAAGTGTAGAAAGAGTGCTCAATACCATTTAATAACGTAGAGCAAATAATTAATTTGTTAACTTAAAATATAGTCACAACTCTGAGTTTCACGCTCAATGCGATCTTCAGGCGACAATGTTTAAATCTCGATTAAAAATTCCAGGAATTTTTAATCGAGATTTAAACATTGTCGCCTGAAGATCGCATTGAGCGTGAAACTCAGAGTTGTGACTATATTTTAAGTTAACAAATTAATTATATATATATATATATATATATATATATATATATATATATATATATATATATATATATATATATATATATATATATATATATATCTATTATATATATATATATATATATATATATATATATATATATATATATATATATATATATATATATATATATATATATATATAGTTTTTCGTTTTACCTCAAAGAACCACAACAGTCTGTTTCATCCGTATAGGAATCATCATGATTCCTATACGGATGAAACAGACTGTTGTGGTTCTTTGAGGTAAAACGAGAAACTATATTACGCTCTATCTATATGGTATTGAGCACTGTTTGTGTTTCGTAAACCAAAATCTTAAGCTATATATATATATATATATATATATATATATATATATATATATATATATATAGTTTTTCGTTTTACCTCAAGAAACCACAACAGTCTGTTTCATCCGTACGGATGAAACAGACTATACGGATGAAACAGACTGTTGTGGTTTTTTGAGGTAAAACGAAAAACTATATTACGCTCTATCTATATGGTATTGAGCACTGTTTGTGTTTCGTAAACCAAAATCTTAAGCTATATATATATATATATATATATATATATATATATATATATATATATACACTGGATCCAGAAAAGTTTGACCTTCGAATATATATATATGTCGGCCATTTTGAATTTTCTTGGGTTAATTATACGCGAACGCGTACATCAAATGTCGCTCGCAACGTACTGTATATTGCAATATTCCAACAGCTCAAATAAGTAAAGGATCATTGGTTGAAGTTCTTACACATATTTGTAGTAGCTATCTAATGAACATTTGAGGGTTGTTAGCTAATTAACTCTTGTCACAATTTGGAACCTGATCTTTTTGGCATGTCGTAATTTATTCTTTTGCATCCTTAGAGATTTAGACGCTTATTAGCATGCCTCGATGAATTTCTTTGTTTATTCTTTCGTATTCACTTGTGCTTATTTTATAGTTGTAACCTACGTCCAGAATTATTATATTTTGCCAACGGAAATTTTAACGGAATCGATAGTCATTCGATATTTCATCCCCTGAAACTCAGCACGCGCAGCATTCGTGACCTGGCGAAGCAGGTCACTATGTTCATTTCCAAATGTTCATTTCCTACTAGCCATTATGATTATGTGCAAAGACATCAATCAATGATTCTTTTATTCATTTGAGCTGTTGTAATAATATTGCAATATACAATACGTTGCGAGCGACATTTGATGTATGCGTTCGCGTATAATTAACCCAAGAAAATTCAAAATGGCCGACATATATATATATTCGAAGGTCAAACTTTTCTGGATCCAGTGTATATATATATATATATATATATATATATATATATATATATATATATATATATATATATATATATACGAAGAACATAACCCCGGGGGGGGGGGATAAAACCCTAGTAGGGAACCACCTCCAGACCAATTTACACTCACCTGCGACAAAATAGGGAGGTTGTGTGCTTGATTTGCACAGTGCAACTCAAGTTGTAAGCATCTTGCATGGGACCATCTGATGCACAAGACTTTCCTCTTGATGAGTATCAGACATTTGAGAATATCAGACATTTGAGTTCCTTTGCAGCTTAAGGAGTTAATCCTATTTATCTTAGAGAACAGCAATTCAACTATCTGGCTGGCTTGACAAATAACTATACACCAACAATGTGTGCAAAGGCAATTAAGTGTATCCTTGGAAAATTTTATCTGAGATTATGCAGAGTTGTTTACAACTTTTTTGTTCAAGCCTAGTGACTTATTTCAGTGCATGAAAATCATCCCACCTTTCATCCTGTCCTGACAAACTGGGATCATGTAAACAGCACATTTAGCCATTAAGTTGATTTGCACTCTAATTTTCCTACTTATATTATTTAACTCTGTCTAACGTCATACAATTTTATTAAGCAGGGGGTGCACTGGCAGTTAATTAATGGGTAACTAGACACATGGGCAGTCTCATTATGAAGCATAAAATCGTCTAGCGTTGGACAGTAAAATACTCAAGTAGAGCATGCATCAGGGCACAGTACAACCTAATGGTTAAATTTGTTTTTTGTAGCAAAATGGTTTAAGTTTTATATCTGAATTTTTTAATTTTTTTTTTTGCTTTGTTTTACAGATCATTACTTGAACGTGCTGATGAAATATTGATTTATAAAATATCATGTTACCAAGATGACATGCCTCGAAGAGCAATACATGAGGGAATACCTCTATTTCTAATCAAATTACAACAATACACCAAAGACAGTAGTTCTCGGATGAAATGAAAGGATTGATAAATGTTCATGGCCAGCAGTGGATATTTGTGACTATAATAAATGGATACAAAGAAACTATGATGGATAAATATGGCCCCGTAATGGATATTCAGTTGATGGACATACAAAGGTCACAGAAATGTCTATTTTCAGGTACTGTTCTTTCTTGTTTGCCTGCGAACAGGCTGTAGATACTTGTATCCAGGCCATTGTTTGTTTGTTTTTTGTTCTGGGTACAATGAAATCCGGCATAAATCCTGGCGGTCTAAATGTTCAGTATATTTACAAATTCGATCTATTTTCTGTTCAGTAGACTTTGATAGCTTGAAAGAAAGTTTATAACGATGATTTTCTCTGCAAAAACTGTACTTTCGAAATTCGTCAGCTTCTGAATTTGATAACCGATCTGAAAAAAAAAGGGAACATTTGAGTGTATGGTTATTGCATGGTTCTATATATATTCTATATATACTGCCTTTGTGCACACGCATAACAAGTGCAGCAACGCAACAGTTTAGACAGGGTCATGAGGCAGGATGTGTACAAGAAAAGCTTTGCCAGAGTTTTGTCTTTCGAAATAGAACGACGATTGGAAATTGCTGTTTGATTCTTTGTAATATCTTGTCGCTTGTTAGTGAAAAAGAAATTTGTCACTTTCCTCATCTAAGACCCTGTTTACATGAGACCGGAACGAAGTCAAACCGGGACCATTTCGTTTCGGTCACAGTATTATTTATAATAGATGTTTACATGAGACCGGGACGAAAATAACTCAGACCGGTCTCAAGTCATTCCGCCTGCTGAACCGAACCGACTGACTTCAGACCGGCATGAATTCAGACGGGGATGAATGTAAACAGAAATACATTTCAGACCGGTCTCGGCTGTAACCTTGACATTGGAACAACACATGCTAACAAAAGCCATCTGAAAAAGAAAATTGCCCTGGCAAGGGGAATAAGTTGAAAATTTTGTGATTTTCGTACCGGTCTCATGTAAAGATATTGTCAATTTCAATTTTCGTCCCGGTCTCATGTAAACGGGGCCTAAACCTTTTTTTTCTTCAAAAAACTGGCATCGTTTGTCTTGGGGTTAGGGGGTACAAATGGTACCCATAGCTTAGAGGGTGCAAATGGTACCCGTAAGAAGACTTGGTGGAAATCATGTTGGTCGTTTGGATCGGCGAGAATAAGACAATTATGGTGGCAAAGTTTTTTTAAACATTTTCTCTCCCGTAGTAAGGTAAAGCATGTATTTTCCTGGTAGCCGGTCTTACTTCATGAAAAAATAGTCCGCTACCAGTGACTAGGTCCCCTCTCTTATGGCGGTTATTCCGGCTCAATATCTTCGGGGATATTCCTTTTCAGGGCGGTTGCATGCGGATAATATGGTCCGTCGCGTGCGCAAAATAGTTAGGGAGTTAGACAGTTTAGAAGCGTCCAAACTGCGCAATATACGACACTCACATGAAACGTAAAATACTTTATAATAATTCACAAAATTGCGAAAACAAAAAATTGACAATTTTGCAATTTGAATTGTGCGTTTCTGGCAAATGCCTTTAGATTCAAGTTGTAACGACAATTTACAAGCGCATTAAGTGTAAATACGGCATTATTTCTAATGAAAAGACCGCCAGGGTTAGAGTGTTTTTATGTGGGTTGTTAAGGAGCAAACTCGCTTTTTAAAAAAAGAAATGTGTATTAATTTCGATCCAGATTTGTTCCTGAACATGGTCATGAAAACACTCTGTAGAGCAAGCTCAGCGACGTACGGTCATAATAGCGTCGTCGGAAGTTTGCATTCAGCATTTTCGTTCAAAATTGAACGTACATTATGCTATGCTAGGGTTGCGTACAATCGGTACCCACACGATGTGTAGCAATTCTAAAGGAATAATTAATACGTATAAATAGGGTGTGCGCACGAAGTTTTTTTCGCAGGCCTTTAATAACTTCGGGGAAAATAATAAAAAAAGCAGTGTCCGTGGTCGGGGCTGAATAGTACTGTGGAAGATTGGGTTGGAAAATTTGCAATAAAGATCTGTATTTTTGGGCAATTGTTACTTTTTGAAAAATAGTATCCTACTGATGTAAAATAACATCGGAAGGGTTTGGCAACAACGATGTCCAAAGAGTATGTTAGCCCTAAAGTTTATTTCATAAAATGATTTATCTTTGTATATACTCAATTGCAAGACAATTTAAAGTTCGAGTAAAAAGTTTAATAACAATTGATATAAATTGAAACTCATTCTGGCTCAAATACTCAGAATACTCGATTACATGACAATTCAAAAAGAATATTTAAAGTCAAAATATTAATCATAATTCAAAATGACCTTTGGGTCACATTTTATGCCTACTCATATGGTTGTGTCCACAGAAGCCTGATGTATTATATTAGATACGAAATACAACGTTTTTAAAAAAACAACCTTATCAAAAATCAGTTAAATATACTCGCCTTTTAAGCAAAAGCGAAAAGATTATTTTTGCCACAATTTTACGGTAAACCCAAACGTGGTGACGGAATTTCCCAGCATTTATATGTGCTGAAATTGAACTAAATCGAGAAATTTAACCAAAGTATAATTTTGCCACTCACCGGGTTTGAGTATCTTTTGTGACAATATGGATACTACCATGAAGATTAGATGTTTGATTAGTACTAAGTAAGTGTTTTCGTCAAAAATACAACTGAAATCATGGCTTTGACAGGGTTGACTAAGTCCCTAAAAACCCAATAATTTCCCATTCCATGTTTGTAATATGCATTCAATATGATAGATACGGCAGGCCTTCTACTCTTTCTTCTACTGGATAAATTGGAACAGAATGGCTGAAATTGAGTATACTAAAAGACTTTAATGAAATAAAATTTGGGGTTAATGCATATGTCGTTTTTCGTCTTGCGTAACGTCAGTTGTGTGTAACTTTTATGAAAAAAATCAAAGTCTTGAGATTTTGTTTTTCAACAAGTAATAATGGTCTAGAAATACAGATTTATATTGCACATGTTAGTTTCTTCAGTAAGGTCTCTAAACATTGGCACAACTGCTTGTTCCACAGGGGGCAGAAAAGTACGATTGTGTTTATTTAAAATACCTTGTCATCGTCCTATATATCGCATATAGTTTCATCCAGGTTTCAAACGATGAAAATTATGTTGATTTTAAATTTTTTTCGATAATATAATACGGACTACTTCATGTAATTCAAACATTGTATTACCATACTATCGTGGGTTCATACCATTGAACTATAAATAAACTGGAAGGCTAACTGCTATGATGAAGGCCTATGATTTGATGAAGCCAAAATAGTTTTTCTGAGTTATGAGCAGAAATACTTGACCCCAAACGTCGGGCTATATATCAAATTGAAGCTATAGAAAATTGCTATTCGGTGTGGAAATTTGAAGACTTCAGCGAAAAGAAAAATCTTTAAAAAATAAAAAAACAACTGCAAAACGGCAAATTATCGGTAATTATGTTTGTAGTTTTTCAATACTTCCCTTTTAGCTAAAGTCTTGAAATTTCTACACCAAATAGAGTTTTTCAATAGCTTCAATTTGATATATAGCCCAACGTTCAGTGTTGAGTATTTCTGCTCATAACTCAGAAAAACTAAAATGCACTGGCTTCAATTCCCCCCCCCCTGAGTTAGCCTTCCAGTTTATTTATAGTTCAATGGTTCATACTAGAACGATTACACCCTCGGCATCCTTTCGTAAGATGTTCGGAAATTGTCGTTGCAATGCAATGATGTTTAAATTACATGAAGTAGAAGGCTCGATATTTTCGAAAATATAAAAATCAGCTAATTTTGATTCTTTTATGACTTTGTCTTCGGATTGTTGTGATATAAATATGGTATATTGGTCGATGACAAGGTATTTACAAAACACAATCGTACTTTTCTGCCCCCTGTGCTTGTTCCCCATGCATAAATTTTTAACTAGTTTTTGGGATTGGATTTATTCAAATTTGAGGTGATTTTGAACACATATTGGTATGTTACTCATGATATGAGTAAAATATTGTTCGTTTATACATTGTTCTAGTTTCTATAGCTTTTTATTTGTCTTATCAGTTGAAATATATGTTGTGATTGTTTATGAAATATATTGAATTATTTGTGAATTGTTCGTTCATTTTATGTATGACGAAACCGGAAATTTATAGTTTGATGGTCACAAAAAATTTGAGCATAAAAATGTTAAAATTGTACACTAAAACACTAGGTATTATATTCGAAATCACTGGAACACGACTAGTTTTAAATATGCTTGAACTGAATTTCATACATGGAGTATTTCAAAAGTTCTGATCGGTTCACAGGCGGCCCAGACGTGTATCAGTGTATAGTAAATATATCATTATAAAATATACTAAACAATAAAATTTGTAATGAATTTTATATTTTAAAATCATATTTACTTGCCTACTTTGATTGTATGTGATCGTCTTTTATTTCTGAGCGACTTTACATTCGATGCCTGCGACTGCCTTCATAAGTGATAGTATTGAAAGCAAAGGCTAACGATTCCAGTTCTCAAACAGCCGACACGAACAATTCAAATCGAAAAATATCCCCTTCAAATTGCTTTGTTCCATAGGTGATAGTATTGAAAGCAAAGGCTAACGATTCCAGTTCTCAAACAGCCGACACGAACAATTCAAATCGAAAAATATCCCCTTCAAATTGCTTTGTTCCCGGTAAAACTTTGCCAGCGTATAGAATAAACACCCATCTTCGAACATACAAGGCAATATTAACACGTCCTGTAATTTTTGCAATGGATTTTTAGCGAAATAAAATTTAGTAAAATTCTATGGAACTTAGAAAGCCCGATAATTACTACGGCGCCTGCTTGGCCACCTAGCCTCCTTTACCGTTTGGATTGTCAAGGGGATTCAAATAAAAAACACCTATTTCCGGCAACAGCCAGCCAATCAACGCCGCGATACCGACTGTTTACAGTATTCGAAATCTGATATTGCAATTTATCAACAACAAAACTCTTTCGATCGTATACAGCTCTCTTTCTATCTTATACTATACGATCGATCAATCGAAATTGTTTTGTTGTTGATAAATTGCAATATCAGATTTCAAATATTGTAAACAGTCGGTATCGCGGTGTTGATTGGCTGGCTGTTGCTGGAAATAGATGTTTTTAATTTGAATCCCCCCCCCCTGACAATCCAAACGGTAAAGGAGGCTAGGTGGAGAACTGGAATCGTTAGCCTTTGCTTTCAATACTATCACCTATGAAGACAGTCGCAGGCATCGAATGTAAAGTCGCTCAGAAATAAAAGACGATCACATACAATCAAAGTAGGCAAGTAAATATGATTTTAAAATATAAAATTAATTACAAATTTTATTGTTTAGTATATTTTATAATGATATATTTACTATACACTGATACACGTCTGGGCCGCCTATGATCGGTTATCTGTTTAAAAACTTTTGAAATCATGCATGTATGAAATTCAGTTCAAGCATATTTAAAACTAGTCGTGTTCCAGTGATTTCGAATATAATACCTAGTGTTTTAGTGTACAATTTTAACATTTTTATGCTCAAATTTGTTGTGACCATCAAACTATAAATTTCGGGTGTCGTCGTGCATAAAATGAACGAACAATTCACAAATAATTCAATATATTTCGTAAACAATCACAACATATATTTCAACTGATAAGACAAATAAAAAGCTTTCATCATGCATAAAATGAACGAACAATTCACAAATAATTCAATATATTTCATAAACAATCACAACATATATTTCAACTGATAAGACAAATAAAAAGCTATAGAAACTAGAACAATGTATAAACGAACAATATTTTACTCATATCATAATGAGTAACATACCAATATGTGTTCAAAATCAGTGTTTTGGGATTTGAATAAATCCAATCCCAAAAACTAGTTAAAAATTTATGCATGCGGAACAACAAGCAGTTGTGCCAATGTTTAGAGACCACCGTCCACAGTACTACTTGGTTTGTGGGTTCAAATCCCAAAACACTGAACTTATAAGTTACTAAAAAAAAAATGGATCCGACGGATTTTAGTTATATAAAAAAAATGGATCGGATCCCTCAGATCCATCGGATCCCTAGGATCCATCAGATCCCTCGGATCCATCAGATCCCTCAGATCCATCAGATCCCTCGGATCCATCGGATCCATCAGATCCCTCGGATCCATCGGATCCCTCAGATCCATCGGATCCCTCAGATCCATCGGATCCCTCAGATCCCTTGGATCCATCGGATCCATCGGATCCCTCGGATCCCTCGGATCCATCGGATCCATCAGATCCCTCGGATCCATCAGATCCCTCGGATCCATCAGATCCCTCGGATCCATCAGATCCCTCGGATCCATCAGATCCCTCGGATCCCTCAGATCCATCGGATCCCTCGGATCCATCGGATCCCTCGGATCCATCAGATCCCTCGGATCCATCAGATCCCTCGGATCCATCAGATCCCTCGGATCCACTCAGATCCCTCGGATCCATCAGATCCATCGGATCCATCAGATCCCTCGGATCCATCAGATCCCTCGGATCCATCAGATCCCTCAGATCCATCGGATCCCTCGGATCCCTCGGATCCATCGGATCCATCAGATCCCTCGGATCCATCAGATCCATTTTTTTTTAGTAACTTATAAGTTCAGTGTTTTGGGATTTGAACCCACAAACCAAGTAGTACTGTGGATGGTGGTCTCTAAACATTGGCACAACTGCTTGTTCCGCATGCATAAATTTTTAACTAGTTTTTGGGATTGGATTTATTCAAATTTGAGGTGATTTTGAACACATATTGGTATGTTACTCATGATATGAGTAAAATATTGTTCGTTTATACATTGTTCTAGTTTCTATAGCTTTTTATTTGTCTTATCAGTTGAAATATATGTTGTGATTGTTTATGAAATATATTGAATTATTTGTGAATTGTTCGTTCATTTTATGCATGACGAATCCCGAAATTTATAGTTTGATGGTCACAACAAATTTGAGCATAAAAATGTTAAAATTGTACACCCAAAACACTAGGTATTATATTCGAAATCACTGGAGCACGACTAGTTTTAAATATGCTTGAACTGAATTTCATACATGCATGATTTCAAAAGTTTTTAAACAGATAACCGATCATAGGTGGCCCAGACGTGTATCAGTGCATAGTAAATATATCATTATAAAATATACTAAACAATAAAATTTGTAATGAATTTTATATTTTAAAATCATATTTACTTGCCTACTTTGATTGTATGTGATCGTCTTTTATTTCTGAGCGACTTTACATTCGATGCCTGCGACTGTCTTCATAGGTGATAGTATTGAAAGCAAAGGCTAACGATTCCAGTTCTCAAACAGCCGACACGAACAATTCAAATCGAAAAATATCCCCTTCAAATTGCTTTGTTCCCGGTAAAACTTCGCCAGCGTATAGAATAAACACCCATCTTCGAACATACAAGGCAATATTAACACGTCCTGTAATTTTTGCAATGGATTTTTAGCGAAATGTTTCGAGACTAAAATTCTATTGGAACTTAGAAAGCCCGATAATTACTACGGCACCTGCTTGGCCACCTAGCCTCCTTTACCGTTTGGATTGTCAGGGGGGGGATTAAAAACATCTATTTCCAGCAACAGCCAGCCAATCAACGCCGCGATACCGACTGTTTACAATATTTGAAATCTGATATTGCAATTTATCAACAACAAAACAATTTCGATTGATCGATCGTATAGTATAAGATAGAAAGAGAGCTGTATACGATCGAAAGAGTTTTG